TTTTTTTGGTAACAGAGGGGGGAAGATAAAAAAGCTCCCCCACCCAGCAACTCTGCCACCTGAGATGGGAAATGTGAATCTGATGATTTCTGGCCACTTCCCTGCCAAGGCAAGACCAGCTGTTCCACTGGAGGTGATGTCAGTGCTTTTGTCCTCTCCACGTTTCAATGACTGAAGGAACAGCTCCCCTTTCCCTTGGGAATTCTATCCCCATTTTCCCTCCCGTGGCTGCAACACCTCCTGGATTTTATTGCCAGGTTGGTTTTTCCTTAATTTCCTTAATTTTTCCTCCCCCCCATCATTAAGGAGATGTTAAATAGGGTGGTAGTAGTAGTAGTAAAAATAAAAATAAAAATAATAATAATAATAATAATAAATAAATATATATATTTATTTATTACATATATAATATATTATATAATATATAATATATAATATATAATAATATATAATATATAATATATAATATATTATTATATATATTATATATAATATATATATATAATATATTATTATTATATATTATATGTATAATATATAATAATATATAATATACAGTAATATATAATATATATTATAATACAGAATTTTATTATTATTATTATTATTATTATTATTATTATTATTATTATTATTATTATTATTATTATTATTATTATTATTATTATTATTATTATTATTTTAATAATCCTTTCCCCACAGCTTTTCCTTCCAGCATCTCAGCCAGTTTTGGACCTCCATAACTTCCCATCTAATCCAGGTCCTGGAGCAAATCATCCCAAGGCAGGATGGAAAGTTTCCCAACAGCTCGAAATGTTTTCCTTTCAAACATCCACCCCCTCCTCCTCCTCCTCCTCCCAAACTCCTTAACCCCAAAAATCCTCTCTGCCCACAGACCCCTCCCCATTTTGGATGAATTAATCTGCTCCTCATTTCCTTATCAATAAAAAAAAAAAAAAGGAGTGGGGGGGTGTTTAGATTTATTTATTTATTTCCTTTTCTCCTTGTGTTTTTTTTTTTTCCTCCCCATTTTGGGAGATCCAGGCCCAGTTATTTCCCCACTGTATAATTTTAGGCTGAGTCCAGCCTGGTCCCCTCAACAATGAGCCCTTCCAGAGGGTTTAATCACTTTCTAACAGGATGAAGCACTTTTTTGGTGACTTTTCAGAGGCTGAAAAAGGCTCATCTGGGTGAGTTTTATGGTTTTATGCCACAAGGAGAGTCCTTTCCAGGGAATCTGCTGGAGGGTGAGGGATGGACAAAGCTGAACAGAAGCACTGCCAGCACAGCAGGAGCTTCTGGGGGCTCCATCTCCCCCTTTTAATTTACATTTTCACCCCCCAAGCCCCTCTTAGAGATCAGCTGGGAAACGTTTGTGTCACAACCAACGCTGGAATTTGGATAAACTCTTCACCCCCAGTGAACTCTTCTGGAATTCCTCCCCAGTTAAAACACGAAATCCTGTGGATGCCACTGGGATAAATAATCCCATTCCTGCTGGGATTCTCCTTCTGTAATCCCTGAGCAAACAGGAGCCAAACGGAATTCCCCCACGGACAATCCCAGCTCTGCCATTCCTGGGGTTCCCTTTTTCCAGTCCTTCCTGAGCTTCTCCACCGAGAATTCCCAGGAAAAATCTCCCCTTTGAGGGGCCTGTCCTTGAACACATTCCCACCCCTTTTTTTTCCACATTCCCACCCCCTTTTTTTTCCACATTCCCCTTGAAGAAACACATGGAAAAGGATCCAACTCCACCTGCAAACTCCTTCCCAAATTCCCCCACTTGCCTCGCTCAGGCAGATCCCACTCCCAGCTCCAAATAAATCGATTTTTAAGCAGATCAGAAAAAATGTCCTCCACTGAGATTGGAGTTTTTTTCCCCCCATCTCAGCTCCCAGGAAAAGCCTGGAGCCTGCAGAGGGCACGAGATCCCTGTGGATGGCACTGCCATCCAGGGAAAATCTGGGAGCATCATTTGGGAATGGATGTGGCTTTCAGGTTCTATTTCGGGCCCTCCATTTACCAGCAGCAAAAAAAAAAACAAACAACCAAAAAGCACAAGAACATTTCCTGTTTTTTTCTCCTCCTCCTCCTCCTCCTGCTCTAATCAGGTTCTCACCAAATTAGGCCTGGCTTAATTAGCCCTCAGCAGGTGCCAAAGCCAGGAATGGCACCAGCAAAAAAAAAAAAACAAAACAAAAATAAAGGAAGGAAGGAAAGAAAGGACTTTGAAGCTCAAGCCAAACAAATCACATCTATTATTATCAAGTTTCCTATTAAAAAAAAAAAGGAATATTTTGGATAATAGTCCACAGGCAGGGAGAGCTCAGGAGAAGTTCAGCAGATGCTGCTCAGCAGATGAAGCTTTCCCTGGGAATGAAATCAGGCGGTGGGAAGGGATTCCTTGCTCGGGAAAACACGAGGGGGGCTTTTTTTTTTTCATCTACCCAAACTGGCCGTGAAGGGGGTGATGGGCAGCAGCAATTAACAGCTTCAGTTAATTCAATTCACAGTGGCTTTCAGTGCCACTGTTTATCCCTGGGAGGGCCTTTTTGCAGCTGGAATAGTGGGATGGACGGAGAGGGAGTTATTTATTGACAGTGGAAATGAGGATAAATCAAATACCCGAAGGGTATTTAAATATAAATATATTTACATATTTATGTTAATTTATATTAATATAAATATCTACATTGAAGTATATTTAAACCAAACAAACCCCCTGCCCGGTGGGATCGCGTTGCCTTTGGCTCCCACAGCGTGGTTGGGGAGGGAGATGGAGGTGGATCATCCCAAAAATGCTGAGGAGAGAGGAGGGAGCATTTGATACCCCCCCAAAAAAAAAGGTAAATTTACAGAATTGCTTCACAAAACTCAGTCGTGTGAGAATTTGAGAGGGTTGTTCATTCCTAACATCAGAATTTCAAGTCAATTCTCAATCAGAGAATCCTCGGAGTGTTACAGTTGGAAAAGTTCTCCGAGATGATGGAATCCAATCATCCCCCAGCGCTGCCAAGGCCACCACTGCCCCCTGTCCCCAAGTGCCACATCCACCCCCTGCCCCTTCCAATGCCTGACCCACCCCCTTCCAGGGCAGAAATTCCTTCATTATCCCATCCAAACCTTCCTGGTGTTTCAGAACCGTTTCTTCCCACACAGTGCCAGGAGATCCGAGTACCCTCATTAATTCAGATTCAGCTGCACCCCTTGCAGATGCTCAGATGAAGACTCTGATTTGCTCCACAGGAAAGCAGCAGTTACAAACAGTTGTTTAACCTAAAGATGGTCCTTTTACACCCTCAGTTTGCAACCTGAGGTGACCTGAGAGCCACACAGTGGTTTGGGTTGGAAGGACCATCGAGATCATCCAGTTCCAACCCCGATGCTTCCCACTGTCCCAGGTTGCTCCAACCTGGCTTTGGACACTCCCAGGGATCCAGGGGCAGCCACAGCTTCTCTGGGAAATCCAGTCCAGCCCCTCCCCACCCTCCCAGACAGCAATTCCTTCCCAATCTCCCATCTAAATGGCACTGGGAAGCCATTCCCTGTGTCCTGTCCCTCCAGCCCTCGTCCCAAATCCCTCTCCAGCTCTCCTGGAGCCCCTTCAGGCCCTGGAAGCTGATTAAGGGAAGAGCTGCACTATTTTCCAAGCCCTACCCCCACTGTCACCCCCATCCCAAGAGCCCAAACCCACAGTGTGATGGGGATAAAGCCAAACCCCTCCCCAGGATCGCTATCCCAGCTTTTCTCCCCCAACCCGCAAAGAAACCGAGACCATTCCAGAAGCGACTCCCGCCTTCCCACAGCCAAAAAATAACAACCCCCCCTCAGGACCAGCAGCTCCACCAGGAGCTGCTCTCCAAGGCCTGGTACCTGTAGGCCAGGTTGCAGGTGTCCTTGTACTCCTGGAGCTTCACACACACCATGTGCAGGAACTGGTCCGAGTAGGCGCTCAGGTCGTGCATCAGGTTCAGCAGGTCCTGCACCGTCTTCTCCACGATCACCGTGCTCTGGGAAAAGGACAGGAGCCCAGGGGCATGAGCAGCAGCTCTGGGTGTCTGAATTTCAGCCTAATTTGCTGATTACTAATTTGCTGTCCCAGCTGCTCCTCGACAGCTCCGCCACGGACGGACGGGAAGCGGAATAAACGAGGAAAAGGGAGGAACCGAGAGAAGGAGAAGGAGGGTTGGAAGGTCAGGTGGGAAGGTTTGGATTTCTGAGGGCCCTGCAAAGTTCACCAGACCTTTCCTTCATTTCTCAAAACGAAAAACCTGTGTGATTTTTTTTTTTTTTTATTGGAGGCGCACGCAGAGCCCGAATCGCCGCCGCGCATCCCACACGCCCCAGAATCGCTGGGGAGGCTGGAAAAGAACCTCCAAGATCACCCAATCCAACCTTTGATCAGCCAGAGCAGAGCTCTGAGCGCCACTGAGACCCCAGAGGAGCAGGTTTGGACAGGAGGAGGTACCACCTATCTGATAATTTAAAGATTTCAATGGCTCTGTTTGAATCCTGGGATTTCTGAGGCAGCCCAGGGTGACCTGTCCCCAGTTTGTGTTTTATTCCCCTGCTCCCAACAAGGCAGAGAGGGAAGGTAATCAAAGTGCCAGGTTGATAGAAATTGAATTATTAATATGGTAGAGTGACAGGGTTGTTCCTGACCTGTGGCAAAGGAAACATTTGGGAGCCCTGGGGGTTGGGAAATCCTGGACTCAGATTATTTGTGAGGGATCCCAAGGATCTGAAGGTTGATTTTAGCCCTTTGTCTGTCAACCTGGACATGGAGAGGAGTCAGTGACTCAAAACCCAAACCATCCTCAGCCACATCCCCAAATTCCATCCCTCTGCTGATTCCCAGATTGAGGGGTGGCAGCACTTGGAGGAAAAAACCCCACTTCTCTTTGCTTCCTCTTGTACCTTATTAAGGAAATCCCACAAATTAACCCATCTTTCGTCCTGGAATTAGCAGCAATTTGGGATTACTTTGTCCCAGCTAAAATCCAGTCTGGAGGAGCTGCTGCTCAGCTGCTCCTGTTACTAAATAATAAATCAAAAATTCAATGTATTTTTAGTAAAGATTCGATCCCACCCTGGGCTTGATGTGCACAGAGGAGAACAATCCCACCCTCCCAGCCAGCAATTCCTTCCCAATCTCCCATCTAAATGGCACTGGGAAGCCATTCTCTGTGTCCTGTCCCTCCATCCCTTGTCCCCAGTCCCTCTCCAGCTCTCCTGGAGCCCCTTCAGGCCCTGCCAGGGGCTCTCAGGTCTCCCTGGAACCTTCTCTTCTCCAGGATGAACATTCCCAGCTCTCCCAGCCTGGCTGATTTCCCCAATTCCCAATGAAATGAGTCCCTTTTTCCAGCCTCTCAGGTCAGAACCAGCCAAGCTCTCCCTCCATCGTTTCCCACCCTGTACAATTACCCACACCAGCAGCTTTGGGGTGCTGGATCCTCCATCCCTGAGAGGTTCCAAATCAGGCACTGGTGATTCCCTGAAAGATTCTGGAGTAATGGATTTGAGGAGGAAATTGCTGGGTGAAGAATTCACCGGGTGAATTCCAGGGATGGCGATTCCACCACTTCCTTGGGCAGCCCCTAAAACAACCCTAAAACCACCAAAAATCCTGATCCCAAGCTGGCCCTTGTTACAAGCCTCAAAAAAAAAGAGCAGGGAATAGGAAAGTTATCATCTGGATAAGGATTTAATCCCATCACACGTCCAGATGAGCAGGGAAGGAAAAACCTGGTTGCTCCCAATGGGGGGGAAAGTTTGTGACGGTCCCACCCTCCAGCCTCAATTTTCCTCTCCCATCCCAACCTCTGGCACTCGGGACACGTAAATCCTGCTGGAATGACGCGGCAATAACGGCCTAACAGGGAATATCAGCGAGATGGACTGGATAATTCAGCAGCAACTCTGGATCTCCCGTCCTACCGAGCTGTTATTAAAGGCATTTTTTTTTAAAGGGATTTTAATTTACTCCTCCGAATGGATTCCCATCCAGTCCCTGACAGTGGATGTTGTCAGGGACATTAAGGAGGTGATAAAATAGCGGGAGTTTCCCCGCTGCTTTTAATGCTCTCCACACACCCGGGGAAAGTCGTTAAGCTCTTCCTTCCCCTTTAATCCCCCCTTTCCAGTGTTTATCACTTCAAAAGGGCCACAACTCTCCCTTTTTTATTCACCCGCGGGCGTTTGGGCGAGGAAAAGCGGGCACTGATACTTCCCAAATATTCCCCCCCCAAAATATTCCCTACAAGGGGCTCTTCTGCGGGTTTTCCCGGGGCTCTCCCGATCGCGGGGAGGTGACGGGTTGCGTGGCGAGGGGTTTTTCCCACCCCTTTTCAGTCCCTGCCCTGCTCTGGGACGTCATCGTTGGCGGGAGCCTCACGGGGCAACCCCGCGGGATAAAGGGATGCTCCGTCATCCATCCCGCACCTCGTCTCGGGAGAACAAAACCCACCCGGATTGTTTTTTTTGCATTTCAAACGCAGCTCTCCCTTAAAAACGTCTGGCTGGAGAGAGGGGGAAGTGACGGAGGGGGGGAAAAACAAAAGGATTTGGGAAATTAATTCAGCTGATGAGAGGAGGGACGAGCAGCAACAGCCACCTCTCAACTCCCCCCGTAAATAGACCCACAGATGAATTCCAAGCTGTTCTGGGAGGCGGGTGGCACCCGGGATCGCTCCCGTTGTTGTCCCCTTGCCCCTGGGAGAGCGCTTGGAGGAGAAAATGGATCTCCAACGTGAAGATGCTGCAATTCACGGCACTAATTTTCCCTCAGGTCCACCCAGGAGCAGCTCAATTAACCACCAGGTTACTGCTCAGTCACTGCTTGGCTTGGCTTTGTGGTTTGTTCCTGGGGAATAAACATTTTAGGAGGAACATTTCCCTTCTCTCCCAGGAAAAGCAGGGCCAGGAGTGATGGGGAACAGGCATCAAACGGGACAATCAGCCCATCTGGAGCCTGCACAGGGCAGGAAGCAGCTGGACACTTTGGGATGGGCACTCAGCAAAATAAATGGGAATTTTTGGGGGGAGCAAAGAGTCATTTAAAACCTCGAGTGGTTAAAAGGGGCCAATCCATATTTATGGATTTATGGATTATCCTCCCACTCCAGCAGCACAAAGCAGGCTGAGGATGTGGCTGAATTCCACCAGGAATTTCCTTCACTCCCCTCCAGCTGAAGAGATAACTGGAGGAATTTAAAGGCAGGGAGTGTTTTCTGACAAAAAAACAGGGGACAAAAAAGCCAGCTCGGGCGCTCAAGGTGAGGCTGAGCAGTTCAATCATCACAGAAATTAAGGATTCCTCAAAGCTCAACCCAAAGTCCTTCCAAAAACCTTCCACTCGTGGCCAGTACCAAGTTGGAAACGGTTTTTAATAATCCTGAGTCCTTTTTGGCTCAGCTAAAATCAATCTTGGCCTCTGAGATGGTCTGGTTGGTCCACTGTTAAGGAAAAAAAAAACAAAACCAAAACTGGTGAATTCCAGAGCGAGGCATAAAGTTTTTGGTCGAACCTTGGTCAAGAGACAACTGATGAAAATGTGCCAGCTGAGATGGGAGGAGGTGAAAGCAAAGCCTGAAGTTTAAGGGTGAAAGTAAAGCCTGAAGTTGCCTGAAGTATCAAAACCCGTGTTTGATTTACTCCTTACTCTACATAATAACAGCATAACAACAAAATAAAATAAAATAAAAATAAAATAAAATAAAATAATAATAACGCCCAGGTGTTCCTTCCACCCCACCCCAGGATATTCCATCCCAGAATATTGGGAGCTGGGAGGGATCTGGGATTTTATTCTGAGCTCTCCAGGCCACATAAAAAAGCAGCTGCACTTACACTTTAAAGCCAAATTTCACATGGAGATAAAAACAGTCTGGGAAGAGGCCGAGAAACATCCTCAGAAATCAGTATTTTAAAAGTAAGAAGAATAAAAATAATTAGTACATCCCATTCCCAAACTGGAATGTTTTATCAGTGAATTTTAAAAAAAAAAATTCCCCTATTTATTCCATAAATTCAGCTTCTCTGGTAATGCCAGGTTTTTCTTCAATCCCCACTCCGAAACACAGGAAATACATTAATTTTCTGGCTTTTAATATCGCTGGAATCTGATCCCATCGCAGTAATTTCCACACCTTCCACCGTCTCAAAGCTTCAGAGAGCGAGGGAAAAACTTTCCCCTCCTGCACAGGGAAGTTCACAGAAAGCAAAAAAAAATCACTGCTCAAAAGCAGAAAAATTGCCCAAAAAAAAAAATATAAATCACTGTTCTGGCAGCTTTGTGTGTGCAGGAGCAAAACTGGAATTTGATTTGATTTTTTTTTTTCCCAATCTAAAGGGTTTATTTACAGATTAGAAGCAAAGAGGGGAAACTCTGCCCCCAAAATTCCAATTCTGCAGCCCGAGCTCCGCCTGTCAGGGAGGGACAGACACAAAAATTAAAAAAAAAAAAATAAAAAAAATAAGAGCTTTACACCTTTCTTTTCAACAGTAGATTCATCTCCGTTTTGTTCTCCAGGAGGGTGGGGGTCATATTTTTAAAAATGCACTTTTAAAACGGGGATAATTAAACCTCTGAGAGGGGAGGGAGGCAGGAAAAAAAAGCAGGAATAAAAGGCATTTTCCAGGCTGGAGGTGCCTCATCCCTCTCTCCCTCAGCACACATCCCATCCCACTGTGTGTGTGTGTGTGGGGAATAATTATAAAATTGGTTATAAAATTATAAAATTATAAAATAATATTATATTAATATATAATGATATTATATATAATTATAGACAATAATTATATATAATAATATAATAAAATCATAATATTATAATAATATAATATTATAATTTAAATTATAAAATTGTAATTATAAAAATATAATTTATAATGATACAATTATAAAAATGAACCTTGGGTGGAAAAACCAGCACGCTGCGAAAGGGATCAGTCCCTGGAACATCCAAGCATTTTCCAACGGAGGATAGATTGATTGGTGCTGATAGGTCGATAAAGTAGCCATCAATTATTGACATTATTGAAAATGCCACCAAAGGCTCTTCTCATCCAGAGCTTGTGATCAGGGGAAAACAGTCCCAAAAATTGGGAATTAAAGAGTTATTCTCGCTGCACCGAACGGGCCCGGGCTTTACATGGATAAAAAACAAGGAAAATGGTGGGAATGGGAAGGAGCCCGGCAAGGACACGGGGAAGTTGCTGCTCCTGAAGCCATTTGTGACCCCAAACTCCACCAGTGCTGTGTGTGGAAAAAGCAAGGAATTCAACTTTCCTGGGGAAAAGACAGTTATGGAAGAACCAGCTTTCCCAGAGAAGGTGTGGATGAGCCATTTCTGGAAGTTCTGGATGTCCCTGGAAGTGTCCAAGGCCGGGTTGGAGCAACCTGGGCTGGTGGAAGGTGTCCCTGCCCAAGGTTGAGTTTTAAGGTCCCTTCCAACCCAAACTGGTTTAGGATTCAAGGGTTCAGTGCTGAAAAAATGAGGGTTACACAGATTTTGGGTGACTCCAGCACAAGATTCACCCACCCAGAGAATCACAAAATCATGGAATCAGGTTGGAAAAGCTCTCTGAGATCATCCAGTCCAGGCCCTGCTCCAACCCTGCCTTCGGGTCAAACGTGAGTCACGTCCGTGGGAGGTTCTGTGAAACCTGGACTTGGCTTTTCCAGCTCTGAAGAGGCAGAAAATGACTGAAAATGCTCTGGATGTGTCAAGCCACGCTCGATTTTTATAAAATAAATGGGAGCCCTGCCAGCACAGCTCGGCCTGAGGGCAGGAATTGCTTTCTCAGAGCTCCACCTGACTTTAAAGAGCTTTTAAAAGCTCCCACCAAAGGCAGTCACTGCACTAAATGGTCCCCCCCTCCTCAGAGGAAAAAATATCTGAAGAAATATTGAAAGCAAAAGGGAGGTTCAGGGAGGTAATTTTGTCTCTCCTTTTAAACTGAAAGAAAGGAGAATCAGCAAGAAATTCTGCAAGAAATGGGTGGGTTTGAACCTCTTGGCACGTTGAGGAAAAACTTGTTTATGGAAACATAAACAGGAGATAAAAACTCCTACAAAGCCCTTGGTTACAGACACCACCAAAAAAAATTGGAATATGAGGATCAGAACCACTTCCTTCAAATTCTCCTTGGCTACGAAAAACCCACTTGGATCAGCCCTGCCTGCTCCTTAACGGATTGGGAGCCTGGAATGACAACTGATTGCTTTCTCCTGATAAATAACAACATCCAGCGGCCATCAAAGCATGGAGCCATCGCTCATTAAAGCAATTTGCATATTTTTTGGAGACAGGGCAGTGGATTTGTAAGGCCAGTGTTGGCAGTGACCACCGAAATGATTTATCATCACCTCGACATGAACTGTCCAAGAACAGGCTGAGGAAGGTCCTTGTAGCCTCACTTAGGATCGAGTCAAACAATTCCAGCCTGGAATTTAACGCAGAATCACTCACAGACAAGTTAGTTTCAGTTTTTCAGTCCCTCTGAAAACATTATTTTACACTCTAAGGACGTGAAAATGGAGAAAGAGCCCAGGAAAATGCAACGTTTCCAGCGGGTGATTTTTTTTTTACAGGATAATCTTTGCAGGAATGGCTGAGGACACGATGGCAGAGGGTGCTGCAAACCCTCTTATCTCCAAATTAATTCAGTTCAAACAGGTGCTGATAATCACCCCACAGCAGCTTTATCAGCCTGAGCAGCGGGGGTTGATAAATTTTCCCCGTCCTGTTTTCCACTCCCCGCTCCCCACACTCCCATCCCACCCAGGAGGGTGACGAGGTTAAAGATTTCAGGCTCCTTCTGTCGATGCAGAAAGAGCCTTTTCACTCCTTTTAAAACTCCCTAAAATTCCTGCAGGGAGCTCTTTGGATGGTTTGGTTCTAAGGGGCAGCAGTTTTTTCTTCTCTTTGACAAAATTCCCCTTCTGCAGAACTCCTGACCAGGGACGTTGTGACCAAGATTAATTCCGGTTCCATCCACCAAGAGAAACAAATTCTAGGAACTCGGGGAGAAAATTCCAAGCTATTCTGACTCTTCAACCCCTCATGAACTTTAAGGATCTATATATTGATATTATAGAATATATTTTCCTGGCTACAAATGAGGCCAGAACCCACATTATTCCTTTAAGGGTCCCAAAAAAACCTCTGGGGTTTACAATTTCCATGGCCCTGCTCCAAAGTTGGCAAGTGAAGCATTCCCAGGTCTCAGCACCAGCACAGGCTGGGTTTGGGTTCTCACTCAGCTTAATTCTCATATAAGAAAGCAAAATAAAGGCAAAAAAAAATGAAATACATAATCACAGGATGGTTTGGGTTGGAAGGGACCTTGAAGGTCATCCAGGTCCATCCCCCTGCCATGGGCAGGGACACCTTCCACTCTCCCAGGTTGCTCCAACCTGGCCTTGGACACTCCCAGGGATCCAGGGGCAGCCACAGCTTCTCTGGGAAATCCAGTCCAGCCCCTCCCCACCCTCCCAGCCAGCAATTCCTTCCCAATCTCCCATCTAAATGGCACTGGGAAGCCATTCCCTGTGTCCTGTCCCTCCATCCCTTGTCCCCAGTCCCTCTCCAGCTCTCCTGGAGCCCCTTCAGGCCCTGCCAGGGGCTCTCAGGTCTCCCTGGATCCTTCCCTTCTCCAGGATGAACATTCCCAGCCAGGTCCCTCAGCCCTACCTGCAGCAGAGGCCTCTGCACCCCCAGGACCTTCATGGTGTCGGCGTTGGCCAAGATCTTGAGAGGATCCGACGCTTTGGTGACGCCTTCGATCTCCTTGTTGATCTCGGCCAGGACCTGGTTGAGGAAGATGTTCTTGATGTACATGGTGAGGAACTCCCTGAGGGGGCACTGCTTGGCTGGGCCCAGCTCCATGGCCAGCTCGATCTCCTGGATAAACCTGGAAAACAGAAGGTGGGACAGGGAATTGGGAATAAATCCCCGAGGGGGGTTCCGAAGGTGTCAGTGGGGCCTCGGCCACTCCTGCACCCCAAAGAGGGAGGGAATGGCTGTGGATTGTGCCAAATTGAGGGAAAAAGGTCCACAGGGTGAGACAAAGGCTCAGCTGCTGGAGGAGGAGAGATAAAAAGAGGGAAAATCCACGCCCCAGACACCGTTTGTGGTGATTTGCTCAGAAAACGTGGATTGCTCTGTTTGAGACATGCTGGAATGATGCCTTTCTAAAATTAACACCCCCCCAAAAAAAAATAACAGTTCAGGATGCCAGGAATCCCTTGGAAAAGACAAACTTCCTCCTGGGATTGGTCACTCCATTCCCACCAGGAACAACAGAACATTCCAGCTGGAAACAACATGGAAAACAAACCCAACCCGATGCAGATGGATTATGCTGTCAGCAAGCTGCACTCTGCATGTCTGTATTGGGATATTGGGATATATCTTTATCATCCTTCGCTGTTCCACCCAAGGATCCCGTTCCTCCTTGCACAGACGATCCCAGGAATGTTTTGAGGCCAAATCTTCGCCCCCTCCCGCCAAATCTCTTGCATTTCTGCGGCGCCATCCGCTTAGAGCTCCTGGAAAATCGCCTCTCCCTCCCTTCAGCTGCATCTGAGGCAGGGAAAGCACCTTCCTTTTTAGGTTCTGTGCCTCAAAACCATCAGGGGTTGATGGGCAGGAGCCAGAACGGACCTTGCTGTCCAAAGGGAGGTTTGGGTTGGACGGCAGGAAAAATTCCTCCAGTGGAAGGTGCAGTGGTGGAGTCACAATCCCCGAAGGTGGAGGTGGATGTGGCACTTGGGGAGGTGGTTTTGTGGTGACTCAAAGGTCTCTGAGGCCTTTTCCAACCTGAACAATACCTTGTTCTCTCCCTCACCCCAATTTCCCAAATATTCCCACGGGATCTGCTGAGTTGTCCGCAATTTTCTCCCTCCCCACTCCCAAACTCCAGCGGGGAGGCAACTTCCCCTCAGAGCCCTGACTGAGGAGCTCCTGCCTATCCTCAGGGATCAAATCTGAGCAATCAGCTCCCCTAAATCCTCTGCCCTGGTGATCCCAACAGTCTGACTCCAACTCGAATCCACGGGGGATCCACCTGCAGCTCCGCCGGGAGATGGTTTCTCCAAGGAGAGCTGCGGGATGGAGGGGAACACCAAGCCCTGGCAGCTTCATTCCCTGGATTTCACCTCTGGGAATGTCCCTGCTCTGAAGGACACCAAGATGTCCCACGAGGGAGGAATTCCTGAAAAAAAAGCAGCCAGGGATTAAAAAAAAAAAAACACACACACACAAAAAAAATTAGGAATTTGCATCTTATCCTGAATTCAGAACCCAAAATCGAGGCACCAGTTTTGTAACTTGGTTTTCTCCTCCCAGAAAAAGCACTGGAGGTGATTTGTGGCTGCAATTAAACATTCCCCTCAGACAGCAAAAGGAAGTGTCTTTGGGTAAATGACAGTCATTTGGATTTAAAAAAAAAGGGGAAAAAAAACAACAAACCAAAAAAAAAAAAAAGCCCATCAGTGGAGAAACTTCAATTCATTCCAACTCCCAACTTAATTGGCTGTGAGGACTCTCTTACCTAGGCTGGAAGTGGGGGATGAAAAGCATAAAAACCTTAAAAAGAAAAAAAAAAGAAAGAAGAAAAAAAAAGCTGAATGGTTTGATTTCAAAACCTCCCAAGTCTTGCTTTGCCAGGGCTTTCTTCTGGCTCCTTGTTATCAGGTGCCTTCTAAAACATCATTAAAAGGCACTGAGGGTGCAGAACATCAACCACTCCTCTCCCTAATGATGATGATAATTTCATCTGAAATCCCCTTTTCCTCCAACCAGTGAATGACAGGGGGGAAAAAAAAATGCTGAATACAATAAATACAATTAAAGACATTAAAAAAAAATTTAAAAAATCACTTGCTGGTTACTGCAGATCCATCAAACAGGTACTGAACTAACAAACCCCACCTTATTTTGCATAAAACTTTGACTACAGGGAACTGTTTTGGTACGTTATTTTATTGGGGTGCTGATAAATGTCGTGGCCAAATGCACCTCAGTAAATCTGATGCCCTACAAAGTCAGCCCAAGAGGGGGGAATAAAGGTTTGAGATCATCTCTAAGTGACCCAAAATGTGATTAAAATTGTAATCATCACCCCAAAAAAACCCCCCAGTGTGAACAGGTCTGGGAGACTCAACAGAGATTTCAGTACCTTGAAGTGCATTTTAACCATCAGACCCCCCCAAAAAATCAGCAGATCTCAGAGGAGAAAGGTTCAATTCCTGCTATTTTGAAATATTATACAGCCCAGGAAACATCCAGGAAGGGCAACAACTACAGAAAATGGCTGCTGTTAACAGAAAACACCGAATTTGGGGTTTTTTCCACTCAAATATTTAAGGTTTCAGCTGCACAAGTCGCTGCCGGACTCGTGCCCACAACGCCGAGCTGAGCTCAATGTTTAGGACAAAGGAGCAGATTATCTCATCACTATAAAATCAGAAATCCTCAAGATGAAAAGAGCCCAGGGCTCCTTTATTTATTTATTTATTTATTTATTTTAACAGTAGCTGAAAAAAAAAACCCAAAAATGAAAGGATTTAAGGAAGGGATTTCTGCGTTGCAGCCGCCGAGCCAGGAGAGACACAAAAAAATCAGTATTTTGGTATTTTGCCGTCTCTGAGGCGCTGCAAACACCACAAACACCCCCAAAACCCACGAAATTATAATTTAGCCATCAGCTGATGCTAAAAATACCCCACCTGTCACCTGAAGGAACCGTCTCCAGGTGCAGTTTCTCTCGGTGTCTCCAGAGGGGAATGTTGGCTCACGTTGTACACACAAGATGTACAATCAGAATTAATTAAAAGATCTCCTTCCTCTCCCCCCCTTCTTGCTCCTTCTCCGACAGCAAATTTGGGGAAATCAGCAGCGTTTCCACCCACAGCCAGGAGGGATTTTTTCCCACGGGGGTGGGTCTGAAGGAGGAGCAGCCCCGGAATTTTTGGGACCCCTCTCGGGGGGAAAAGGGGTTTGGAAAGGACCAGGAGGGCAGAACTTGGGGAGTCGCTGGTGGGAAAGGGAGGGTGTGAAATGGGCACCAGGATCGCAGTCCTGGGAAAAAAACACCGGAAAATGAATTGTACAGGTCATGGAATGGGACTCGTTAACTGAAGAAAGGGGGTTAAGCTGAAAGAGGGGAGATTTAGATGGGATTTTGGGAGGGGATTCCTGGCTGGGAGGGTGGGGAGGGGCTGGACTGGATTTCCCAGAGAAGCTGTGGCTGCCCCTGGATCCCTGGGAGTGTCCAAGGCCGGGTTGGAGCAGCCTGGGATGGGACCTGGCTGATCTTTGCAGTCCCTCCCAACCCAAAGCATCCCCTCCCGTTCACCTCGCTCCACACCTCGGTATTTCAGATCAAACCTGACAGAAACCCCAGCTTTCTTCAGACCCTAAAGCCCCTCCACTGCAGCTTTTCACCCCCCCAAAAAACCCCCTCTGTGTGTCTGATCCAGTTTCCCAGAGGAAAAGCCTCCTGCCAGCCCGACCTACGCGGAGCCTTTCGAGAGCCGGAGTTGCACTTTCCATTCTGCTCACCCCGAGGCCTCTGAGTTCATCTGGAGAGCAAATATCTAAAGCAGTTTTTACTCCCCACCTGCCCTGAGCCTCCTTTTCATCCTCCAGAGCGGGGGCCGGGCTCTTCCCAACGGGAATCTCGGAAGCGGGAAAACGGTTTTGTCTCTTTCCTGATTCCTCGAGGAGCTTTTTTTGGGGGTTGTTGAGGAGCACACAGGCCGAGTTTCCCCAGTGCTGTGACAGGAAATGGGTGTTTGCAAAGCTAGAGGTGTTCAAAAATGTGGAAGGGGTGGGGTCATCACCAAAAACTCCCAACTGGGAACATCCAGGGAGGAGGAAAATGCAAAACGCTGCTCCATCAGCGACCGGGGGTGGCGGGGGGAGAGCAGAGCTGGGATGGGCAGCTCAACAGTCTCCACCTTCAAACATGGCTTGGCTGAGCCACCACTTCATCCTCTGGCACAGAAATTAATGGGTTTATGTGCCTTAATTTACCCAGGACTGAGCAAACACAGCTCCTCTTCCAGCCAATCCCTCCGCTCTTCCGAATCCCTCCTCTCCCATCCCTAAAACCTTACGTTTCTAGCCCAAAATGAAGCCCCCTGTCAAGCCAAGCCTATCAGCTGCCTCAAAGTACCAGGACTGCTTGGTGATGGTGATAATAATAATAATAATAACAATCCCAAATGACCAGTGACCTGAACTGCCCCCTGTGGATCCGTCCGTGTGATTCCAACCCGATCCCAACGGGAACGAACGCACCAACCACGGTCAATCATCAACCCCTGCCTCCAGAGACGTTCTGGGATATTTTATGTGAGCCCAGAGGGCACGAGTAACACTCCAAAAGCACGTTCTGCCCAGGGGATGAAGCCACACCCGGAGGGTCTCACCAAGTTTCTTCCACCCCCAGTTTGCTACGACAGCTTTGCCTCTCACCGCGCTCCAAGGGGAACCATCCATTTCTCTCTGCTTCTCTGGGCACTGTGGAAGGCAGAAACCACACCCAGGGCTGCTCAGGGAAAAGCATTTGAAAACTTTTAACCACTGTCCTTTTAAAACATTGAAATTCTAAATGAATCCCTGCCCGGTGCATGGAAATATCATGGGAGTAGGTTCCACTTACAAAATGATTGTAAAGCACATCGATAATGACGTTAAAAAGAACCATCGTGTGAAGTCACCCCGTTACACAAATAGGAAGTTCATCACCTTTTTAGCTGTTCCTATTATTAAATCCCATTTCCCTTTAATGTCCCATTACACATCCAGCTTGGTCACCACCACGGAAATGTAACGATGCCCCCCCCACGGCTTCACATTTGCTCCTGAGCTCAGCAGCTTGGCTAAAAACAAAAATAAATGAGCTTATTATT